GTTTTGGAGTTGTAGTTCACCTATATTCGGAGAGCACTGTGGACTCAAACAATAATGGATCTGGACCAAACTTGGCACGAATCCTCAATATGCCCAAATGTGAACACTGGTAGAGTTTGGGGAAAATAGACCTTGACATTTGGGAGTTGTAGTTGCTGGGATTTATAGTTCACCGACAACCAGAGAACATTCTGAACCCACCAATGATAGAATTGGACCAGCCTTCCCACACAGAACTCCCATGACCAACAGAAAATACTGTTTTCTGATAGTCTCTGGTGACTCCTCTGACATCCCCTTGCGACGCCCTTCAGGGGTCCTGACCCCCAGGTTGAGAAACACTGGCATAGATGTAACTCTCTGTCCCTTCTGGCAGTGGCTGGTCATTTGTGTAAATGTTGAACATGGATGGGGCAAGCATGCTCCCCTGAGGCAGGCCGTTCTTCTGTTTCCGCCATCTGCTTCTCTGGCCCTGGAACTCAACAAAAAAGCTCCTGTTTTGTAGCAGGTTTGCTATGAAGCAGGTGAGGTGGTCGTCCTTTGTGATATTATACATTTTTCTCAGGAGGAGGCGGTGGTTTACAGTATCATAGGATGCTGACAAGTCTATGAATACAGCTCCTCTGATCTGCTGCCTTTCAAAGCCATCTTCTATATGCTGAGTCAGGTTGAGCACTTGCGATGTGCAGCTTTTGCCTTTCCTGAAGCCAGCTTGCTGTGGAATCAGACATGGATCTATTTTTTCCATAATTTTATGCAAAATAAGTCTCAAAATAGGTCAGATCATGGACCAGAGTGACTTCCAGGTATGGGCTGCTTGACTTCCCTGGATCTAGACACTAGACTCCTATTGATGCAGGCCAAATTGAGTAGATCAATAAGTACCGCTTTGGGATGTAGATAATAAAAAGTCGCCCATGCAGACATGCCGGATATTTAATCAGGAGATTGACCAAACTTGGCACGAATCCTCAATATGCCCAAATGTGAACACTGGTGGAGTTTGGGGAAAATAGAATCTTGACATTTGGGAGTTGTAGTTGCTGAGATTTATAGTTCACCTACAATGACAGAGCATTCTGAACCCCACCAACGATAGAATTGGGCCAAACCTCCCACACAGAACCCCCATGACCACCAGAGTGGGTCACAGCAACAAGTGGCAGGGGACGGCTAGTAATAATAATAATAATAATAATAATAATAATAATAATAATAATTCTTTCACTGGGGGAAATGAGGGGATTTTAGATCAAGATTCTGTCTGTGAGACAGGGCTTGGAAGTGAAACTGTTTCAGAGTCCAGCAGACAGAGAGATGCAGTGAATGATAGAGATGACTTTTTGCCTACAAGTAGCTAAGCAACTCCCGATAAAGGCCTGGAAGGCTGAGACAGCTCGCCTGAGAGAGCAGGGGTGCTCGACAGGGGTATCAGGCTTGATCTTAGGGACTAAAACATCCAGCTCAGGAAGCCCAAAAGGCTCTGTGGGAAGGAAGCACAGAGAAAATCCCACAAGCCAGAAAGTTGAGGTCAAAGAAATGCCTTTATGTTTTGAGAGAGTCTCTTTGAGAATTCAGATCAGGCAATGCTGCTAGATAGTGAGGATCTCAAGTCCTATTTCCAGTTCAAGTTTTAGCCTTGGTTCTTGGTTTTTCTGGATTCATGTTCATGTTTCGACTCTTGTTTCCCTGGATTTATGCTAATGTCATGACTCTTCTTTTCCTGTACCTCTTTTGATTATTTGGATTATTGTCTTTGAAGTGTTTAATAATAATAATAATAATAATTTATTTATTTAATTAATTAATTAATTAATTAATTATTTATATTCTGCCCTATCTTTTCAGAGGGACTCAGGGTGGATTCCAAACATAAAAGGCAAACATTCAATGCCCAATCACAACAACTATACACCCATAGTAATGGAATTCGACAACCCAACATATAAAAACAAAATATGACTTAACAACTAAAATTAAATAAAAAAAACAGAACCTGTTGTATCCTCACCAGCTTGGTTGGGCCTTTTACTTATGGACCACCTTTTCTGATTACCTGCTGGATTTTATCTTCTGTTGATTTTCCCTTTTTATATGTACTTCCTTCAATAAACTGTTTAAGTACTGCTTTTGGAGTCCTGGCTGGTTTTAAGGGCAAGGTGAACGCTGGCTGAGGTCCAACACCAGGAGACATTTCTCCTTCGCTAGCATTGAAATACCAAACCTTCCTTGCCCTTGAAAGCAATGTTGGAGGATTAAATTTCCCAGGGAACAATGGGAAAGGAGAAAAGGGGAAGCAAGGATGGCTGCAATAGTTTTTGCTTGCCCAGGTTACACCCTACAGCCATGGTGACTAAAGGGGGTGACAGTGCGACGATGTCCAAAGACACCAAGAGGGAACGCTGCCACCGAAAGACAGAAAATGCATAGTGGGTTGTTGTAGGTTTTTTCAGGCTATATGGCTATGTTCTAGAGGCATTCTCTCCTGACGTTTCGCCTGCATCTATGGCAAGCATCCTCAGAGGTAGTGAGGTCTGTTGGAACTAGGAAAAGGGGTTTATATATGTGTGGAATGATCAGGGTGAGACAAAGAACTCTTGTCTGCTGGGGCTAGGTGTGAATGTTTCAACTGACCACCTTGATTAGCATTTGATGGCCTGGCAGTGCCTGGGGCAATCTTTTGTTGAGAGGTGATTAGCTGTCCCTGATTGTTTCCTCTCTGTTGTTTTGCTGTTGAGTTTGTTAATACTGGTAGCCAGATTTTGTTCATTTTCATGGTTTCCTCCTTTCTGTTGTAATTGTCCACATGCTTGTGGATTTCAATGGCTTCTCTGTGTAGTCTGACATGGTGGTTGTTAGAGTAGTCCAGCATTTCTGTGTCAGATGACACAGAGAAGCCATTGAAATCCACAAGCATGTGGAAAATTTCAACAGAAGGGAGGAGATGAAAAGCACATGTCTGTGTTTTAGATGGATTAGGGTTCAGCTGGTTTTCCCTGTAATATGCAGTAAGAGCACCTAGAGCTTCGGAGAGCTTCTGTTCAACCATCTCAAAGCTCCCTGCTTGAGCAGTAATGGCACGATCATCAGCATAGATGAAACTCTCTGTCCCTTCTGGCAGTGGCTGGTCATTTGTGTAAATGTTGAACATGGATGGAGCAAGCACGCTCCCCTGAGGCAGGCCGTTCTTCTGTTTCCGCCATCTGCTTTCTGGCCCTGGAACTCAACAAAAAGCTCCTGTTTTGTAGCAGGTTTCCTATGAGGCGGGTGAGCTGGTCGTCCTTTTGATATTATAAATTTTTCTCAGGAGGAGGCGGTGGTTCACAGTATCATAAGCCACTGACAGGTCTATGAAGACAGCGCCTGTGATCTACTGCCTTTCAAAGCCATCTTCTATGTGCTGAGTCAGGTTCAGCACTTGCGATGTGCAGCTTTTGCCTTTCCTGAAGCCAGCTTGCTGTGGGATCAGACATGGGTCTATTTTTTCCGTAATTCTATGCAAAATAAATCTCTCTAGAACTTTGCAGAGGTGGCACAACAGGGAGATTGGTCTATAGCTTTTTGGGTCATTACGGTCTTTGCCTGGCTTCAAGATGGCGATGACTCTTGCTTTCCTCCAGATTTTGGGGATCTGACAGGATGCCGTGCAGTTGTTCATCAGCTCCAGCAGCCAGCGCCTTACTTTTGGACCAAAGTTCTTGATTTGTTCCATCCGTGGGTCATCCAAGCCAGCTGCTTTGCCATTTTTACATTTATTGAGAGCCATGTCCAATTCAGTAGATGTAAAGGGTTCATGAAGGTTATTGTTCTCCATCTCTTGTTGTCTGGCTATTGGTTTCTTTCCTACTTTGGTGGCAAGGTTGGGTTTCCCATTCTTCAAGAGTTGGTGTGCTATCTGATCTGCCTGGGTATGAGTTTGTGAGGGGTCATTGCTCAGCCGTCTAAGCAGCCTCCACGCCTTCTGGCTGCTCCTGCCCATGTCGACCTCTGTGATCAGCTTGTTCCACTGTTCTTTCTTGGCTTCAGAGATGGAGGACACAATGCTCTGCGCTGCCTGAAGAGTTTGCTCACTAAATGGTTCTTTGTTGTGGAGCCTGTAATAGTTTTCCAACAAGGCAGCTGTTTCAGGTCTTACCCATGGGGTAAGGAGATATAAGGTGCTGGTCTAGAAGGCAAAAGGATTAGGGTACAGGTGCCACAATTTAAACAACAATTCCTTAAAGTGCGGGAGTGCTAAGGTGGAATGAGAGTGTGGCTTCAGGTCCCTCATGTGTAAGCCCTGGGCTTGATGTCAAGCACCCCCCCCCCAAAAAAAGGGATAGTGACTTATAGTTCTGCAAAGGTACCAGACTGCACAATAGGGGTTAAGTCTTGGTCAATTTGTCAAGGCCTTAACAAACAATGAGGACCCCATGAAACTTTGGGAATGGCTAGACCTTGGGGTCTCTGCCTCTCTTTCTCTCTCTCTCTCTCTCTCGAGAGAGAGAGAGAGCTGTAGTTTTCCAAGGACCATGGGACCGGCTTCCATCCCAGCGCTGCAGGGCTTTGCGTCTTGACCCAGTGGAACTCCATAGACTCCCTTTGGTGGCTTTTTGAATTCTCCTACATTCCTGGACTTCACTCTCTTCAAGGACTCGCTCTCTACCCATGAACTTTCTTCAAGACAACTTATGAATTCATGCTGTGTCCTGATATCGTCTGCTTTTTATAATTGGTATTATTAATCTCTCTCTGGGGTCCCGGATGGGAAGATAGCTGCATGTGATTTCCCTGTGTATAATTTCTATATGTAAGGGGCCTTCAGAAACAAAAGACTGAAACCTCCTCCTCTGCTTTTGTTTACTTAGCATTAACCTCAGGCTGCCATCATTGTTCCCCTGTCTCACAGCCAGGAAGGA